TTTGGTTTGAACAGGAAGGCGGCAAGCGGGATTGCGACCCGTAATCCGCGCCAAGACCTCTATGGGAGGTTGCCCCACCGATTGTGGGAGCTCTGTCGGAACCCAGGCGAGGTTCTGGAGGAAGGGAACCATCAGGTGTACCTTCTTCTGTCTGTATGAACCCACTACATCCCCTATCTCCCTCTAGTTTTGATTGTTGTATGCATGTGTTCCCCTATGATTTTGCTTTCTTTTCAGGATTTAATCAGACTGAATGAAAGGAAAGCATGTGTGAATCTTAAGTTTCTATTTATTTTGTGATTGAAAGCAGACTAAGGGATGAACTTAGGAAAGGTGGGAGGAACACAATTTTACATGCGATTGATCGGGTCAACCAAGGACTGGGCATTGTTTCAAAGCAGAATGGCCCAGGGCTATACTTATTTGGCTATTTTCTGACGGACAAGAAATTACTTCTAAGCAGAATGGTTTGGTTGTTGTGTTTATTTATGACGGCTTGCCAGACTGATCTTTGGAACCAAACATTGTTTTTAAGCAGAATGACTTGATTTGTATGTTTCTTTTTGGGGTTTTTTGACTGAGGTTGGGTTAAAGATTCAACTTCATGCTTTGAGTGATTTGAGATGAACTGAACATTTTCTCAGCTGAATGGTTCAATTCCTTGTTTTATTTCTTAGGGAGGATTTTTTGCAGAAAACTAAGCATTGTTTCTAAGCATAATGGTTTCACATGAAGCCATGCATTAAAGCGTAAACTGAATATAAGATGAAGTACTTTATTTATATTTGCATGTGAACTGGCAACTGGATATTGTTTCTGAGTTGAATGGTCCAGTGTGAAGTCATATCACTAAGGAGAGAAGAAAAAATACAAAGTATAACTAGAAGTAATTTAGGCAAACTGAGCATTGTTTCTAAGTTAAATGACTCCGTCCCCTGCCCATATTTTCATTTCCTTTCAAAACAAGTAAAAAATTATCAAAATTTGGATATTAAACAGTTTAGGGCGGCTAGACATTGTTTCTAAGTTGATGGTCTAAGTTATATACCCAAATAAGAAATAAATTGTTGCGCAACTTGTTCATGTATATTCTAAGGCATGCTAGGCATTGTTTTTAAGATGAATGGTCTAGCACCATGTCATATATAAGCTGGGTATAAAAAATAAATCATTTGAAAGTTTTATGAACTATTGTAAGTGAAATTAACTTTGGGAATGAGTGAGAGTACTCATCATTGTGGTTTGGACTTGCATATGGCTAAGTGATAACTTTACTTAGTCTGAGTATGCGTAGCACACCAAACATGTTCGACGCCCCACTGAGAAGGCAAACATGTTCGGACGCTCGGCCGAGCGGGAACCGAACGTATTCGACCGAGCACAAATCAAAGGACTACCGAACTCGGCCTCGTATGTGTGTGGCGTATGGGGTATGTGTGAGAAGTGTATGTCTGCATGCGTATGGTATATGTGTGTGTATGTGTGTGTATGTGTGTGTATATATTCAAAAGTGATGAGCAATGCCCCCAGGGGTCCCCCAACCCCCATATATGTTTTAAAAAAAAAAAATCGGGCTAGGTCGATTTGGGGTCACGTTCGGACTCGGTACCGAGCGTTTGGGTTTGGTCACTTAGCCCGAACTTGATGCTACGCAAGTCAAACTCTGAGTTTCAGTTTGATAGATAATTGCTTTGGTTGCTCGCCACGTGCTAGAGCTATAGGAGTTAGTTCAATTCCTGTATTTTGGATCATTTATTATACTTTGCTCTGTATGAATCTTGAAAAGGTACTTCTCCTACGGGAAGTGTTGCTGAAATTTATAAAAAAACGAGGAGTTAGTCAAAATCTGACTTTTTAAAGTCTAACTTTTTGTCAAAGTATATATCTGGTTTTCTATAAATCTGGAAAACCTTTTTTTTTAGAGGAAGGACTGCCCAAATTCTCGCTAATTCAAGGAGTTAGACAAAAATTAACTTTGGAAAGTCAGAGTGAGTTCAAATTCTTAACTTAGCTTTGTACAAATTTTCAAAAACTATTTTCTCTACAAGAAGCGCTCCCGAAATTTCTACAAATCTAAGGAGTTAGTTACATTCTAAACAGGTGGTTTTCAGGGTCTTTGGACCTTTCACCACTTCAGGACCATTCAAGTCTGAAAATTCTGAAAGGTCCTGAAGTGGTGAAAGTTCGGAAGACCCTGAAAACCACCTGTTTAGGCAGGTTGCATCCTCAAGTGGTGAAGGGTGGTTTTCATGGTCTTCGGACCTTTCACCACTTCGGGACCATTCAGGATTTTCAGACTGCCAAAAACTCTCACTTGACCACTTCAGGACACCCTTCACCACTTCAGGATGCAGCCTGCCTAAACAGGTGGTTTTCAGGGTCTTCGGACCTTTCATCACTTCAGGACTATTCATGATTTTCAGACTGCCCAAAACTCTCGCTTCAAAATTTTCATCCCTGAATTCTCAGCTACCCGATAACCGCTTGTGCAACAGCAGCGACAGAAGAGAAGGATGACAAATACGCTGACTCACTGAGGATGAGGAGGAATAGCAGCAGCACCAACAACACTCTCTTCGCCGATAGCTGTCATCTTCACCTGAATAAAACGCCTACCTTCTTCCTCTGAACATAACACATATGCGTTGTATTCGAGTTTTCGAATTAAAAAAAAAAGGAATAAGAACGCATATGCATTGTATTCGAAATTTAGGGTCATTCGAAGAGAACACGTGTTGTATTCGAATAGGAGACACCCTATGCGGTGCATTCGTTTACAACGCATATGTGTTATGTTCGGGGGGAACAAGGTAGTCATTCTGGCTGTATTTGGGGCAGCATTCAGTCTTGATGAAGCTATTATGACCAAGTGTTTTATTCGGTGAAGACGGAAGTCAATAGTGCATGTTGAAAAGGATTGCTCTTTGACTTATTTTGATATCACCTATCAACTGTACATCAGCAAACCGTTGAGCATATGTGCGACAATAGGATGAGAGGGACTGTAGGAAGAAAGAGCTTTCTCCGTTTTCTGCTTTCTTCATTTCCCACTTAAGAAAAATATCCAAGTTTGCAAAACTCAGGTTTCATTGATCATTTGCTCACATAAAGTGAGTTGAGTTAGTACAAAGACGCAGGAGCAAGAAAGTGTATGGCCTCCCTGCGATGGCAGATGGGTGGATGGATGAGGCACTTAAATGTCAGCAAGGAATCATTGCGCCCAATCAAATGGTTTTACACGATACGGGTTAGACCAGCCAAAGTGACCTTCCTGCGACGGCAGATCGACCACCAAAGTCCTCCCAACTAACGACTGGATCATAGACAGATCCTCGCTAGAGCAGAGGGGACTCGCCTTAACCGCGTGCAAATTTTGTACCACGGCATTCCCAGCCAGGAAAACCCCAGAGACAATCGAGCACATTTTGCTACTATGTCATGGGGCGGTCTGGGTGTGGAGTGGTGGGAATATGGAGCCAACAGGACACTGCCTATCCATGCCCATGGGAGTGGCGAACTCTCCTCTGTGAAACATGGCACCCGACCCAATCACACGACTTCACACAAAATCTGTTCAAACTAGGCCGCCGGGCAGTCCGATGGGCACAGCGGTGGAGGCGCTGTACCCATGAGATGGGGGGCGTGAGGTTGGATGGACCAGAATCCACCGACTCCATTAAGCAACAAGTACAAGCAGACATCACCACAGAATGAGAACTAGTGAAAGCCCGAGTCGCTCACCTTCATTCCACAAAAGAAATCCAACAAAACATCCAACAATTCAGTGGCAGTTGGCTGGGGCGGACAAACGGCGGGCGAAATTGGGGACAGTGGAGTGTAGTGAGGCATGAGGAGGAGAACAGGGAAAGGCCACAGAAAATTTCATCTCCGCTTTCATGACTGGTTCACACTGGACCCAGCGGTCCCACTGCGGCTGCTCTCGGACTTCTCCCTGACCCATTCCCACCCTCACCGATGAGCCTCGTAGAGCAGAATTGTTTTGAAAAACTACGAAATAAGGGGTTGGAAACTCGGAGGGAGGGGGAGACTGCGGAGTAAGCCAACTCAGGGATGGAGAGAGTAGGAAGGCTCTCAGTGAGAGACGGGCAGGGCAGGGTTTGCAAAGGACCTTGGAGACTGCAAACAGGAAAGGCACAACGCAGGGTTCAGGGTTTTAGGGACCGCAAGCACAGATGCACTGTCCTCAGATGGCAAACAAGAAAGACACAGCGCAGGGTGTAAGGTTTTAGCGGCTGCAAGCACAGAGTCACTGTCCTCAACACAATCTTCACTCTAGGATAAATGGGAATAAGGGTGAAGATGACTCGGCTCCAGGAATGGACAAACGGTATTTGGCGCCCAGGCTAAGGGTGACGAGGTCAGCTAGCATCTGCAGAACGGCAGCCTCAGTGACTAAAGTAGCCTCGGGAACAGGAAGCATAGGCACTGTTCCATCCTATGTTCCAAAACACTTCAATGTTGCTTAAGCCACCAATTCCCCTGACGTCAGAAACCTCGGGGGTACCGGTAGTCCCCCTGACGTCTGAAACGTCGGGGGTACCTTTAGTATACAGTGGAAAACCGGTCGGGCCTGAAAAATGGAATTTGTGGAAATGCACCAAATCGGCGCGGCGAATATTTGACGGTCAAAATGATTTTATTTATTTACTTTGATATTTTTCCCTGATAGATCATGACCTAATCTACGGACCCTCAAATTTGCAGACCTTTGGATGAATTCTTCTTAGTACAAAAAATCAGCAAAGTTGCCGCTTGAAAATAGCAGGATTGGACCCGCAGGTGACGAACGGTCGCCGCCCCTCCGTACAACCCGGCCCTAACTCACAAGGACTGGGGTTTTCGGCGGGGGGGGAACTGGTGGTTTAATACTATTCGAAGGGACGCTGGACCCGCTTTCCAGAGGGTGAAGCTCCACCAATAGATGGAGCTGTCAGCAAATGGATCTGCTATGGGAGGCTGCTCATATCACCCCGCCTAGCGTCCTCAGCTGGCGTTATATTAAAAAAAAAAAAAAAAACCGTAAGTCGGTCATCAACACTTCCCTAACTAGTGTCAAATCTCTTCACAACAGGGCTGGCCGCCGCGTGAATGCCACAACTTTCTTGACCTTCACCCACCAACTCTCAGACTGCACTGTGAAGTAGACAAGGTCGACCTTTCTTTGCAACTTCTTTCCTGACCACCTCAATGCCCTCCACCTCGCAGCAAACTTGCCATCCATCATCTCGGTCAACGCATCTTCCCGGTTCAACAGTCTCTCGAACATCTGGTACACCTCTGCCGGGTGCAGCAATGTCAAGGACTCATCAATCGTCATCATCAGGCCATTGGTAGCGTGATGTTTCCTTGTAAACTTCACGATGATGTCGGCGGTCTTCGCGATGTCCTTCACCCATGCGAGATTAGTCAGGTCCTTCAACAACAAGCTGCAGCAGTGCGCTCCAAATAGTACCCAAGGTATCCTCGCAAAATCTCTATCTGTCCGCCTCTCCTTCTTGTTCACCTCCCTGTTGTCGGTACAAATGACATTGATCCGATGGAGCTCGATCTCGCGCATGACCTGCTCCCACAACTTTGTCAATGCTGCTGCGTTCTTCTTCCTCCCTGTCATATGAACCGTGGTCACGAGAACGACTCCTTTCTCCCCTGCTGCCAGGATATCCATCACCGGTCTGTTCTTGCGATCAGTCGATCCGTCTGTCATGAACGTGCAACCATTTTTGTCCCAACACACATTCATGGGGTTGAGTGTTTTTTCAACCTTCAAGTACATGTAATTCGACATCACCGTCCGCATGTGCTTGTAGGTAGGCAACTTCACTTTTAACCTTGCATTGGCAACTTCCAAGTGTGCATCCTGAAGAGCGTGTGTTGTGTCGAAGTTCAGGAAGTTGAAAGCAATGTCAGCCCTGGGCATTGCCCCTACCTAAGCAATGTCCAACTTCTTCTAGGCTTTATTGTTGATCCACTTCCTAATTGTTGTCTGCCTTTTGACAACCATCCGCTGATAAGTGTGCTGCCCTTCGCCGGTGTTCACATCACTCCACCCCCCAGCCCCTCCCCCCTCCCTCATCATTTGTAGCCGCTGCAGCTGTCTGTGCGGCAACTCATGGAGTCGATCGGCCTAGAAGAGTAGGTGGCACCGACTCAGACATAGGATGCTCAACATCAGATCCAAGCCCCCCAGGCTCCTCATCCCCCTTCGCACCCCCGGCGCGTCCTCTAAAGTTTTGCAATAAGTACTGAGTATTTGTCTCGTTGGGGTTAACCTTGCCACCCTTTGAGACTAGTGCATCGACGATTTCCCCGGTCCGCAAGGTACACGGCTTCCCCGATTTTAGGAAATAGTCAACCGCCTTTGTCGATGAGCCCCTGAAGATATTGCAGCGTAGGTGAGGAGGGGTGGGAGGATACTATAGCAGAGGATGACATTGCCTGTTGTCCGTGTTCAATCCACTCTCACACAACATTCTTTTTCAGCAGCTTCAACTGTTCCTTGCTCTCCCTGGGTTGAAAAAGATGAGGGTCAGTACCTGGCGTTGCCTCCTTGTTGACGGTCATCGTGGTTGATTGCACTGTCTTGCTCAAGGAAGGCTCGTCAGCAGCATCCCGCACTTGCTCTTTGTCCTGCCCGTGTGTAATTGCTCTAGCCCCACCACCGTCGTCACCTGCCATGCTGTTGCCTGTGGTGAAGTAATTGATGATGGGTAGCGGGATGTGGCTGTGGCACGTCTTCTCTTTGGCTATGGGGGTGAGGACAATGATGAAGAAGGAAGAAGAATAAGACAAAGAAGGAGATTTATAATTTATTTATAAAAAAACAAATATATATATATATATATCGCTATGGCTACGGCTATGGCTCATTGGGGGGACAAAGGAGAGGAGGAGGAGGAGGAGGAGGAGGAGGAGGAGGAGGAGAAGAAGAAGAAGAAGAGGAAGAAGAAGAAGAAGAAGAAGAAGAAGAAGAAGGGGAAGAGGAAGATTTAAGATGACCCCCCAAAAAAATTGCTATACCTATGGACATGGTTGAACACGGAACAAAGGATAGGAGGAGGAGAAGAAGAAGAGGATTAAAGATGCCAAAAAAAAGTGTCATGTCTAATATGTCTATTGGTATGACTCCGTTCGGGACAAACGAGAGGAGGAGGAGGAGGAGGAGGAGGAGAAAAAATAAAATTAAGATGACAAAAAACAAAATCGCTATGGTTATGGATATAGCTCCGTGGGGAACAACGAAGAGGGAGGGGATGAGGAGGAGGAGGAGAAGAAGAATTAAGATGACAAAAAAAAAATTGCTATGGCTATGGATATTGCTCTGTGGGTGAAAACTGAGAGGAGGAAGAGGAGGAGGAGGAGGAGGAGGAGGAGGAGGAGAAGAAGAAGAAGAAGAAGAAGCAGAAGAAGAAGTTTAGAGATAAGTTGGCTATGGATAAGGGGAGGAGGAGGAGGAGGACGAGAGGGAGTGGAAGAGAAGGAAGAGGTAAAAAAAAAAAATCGCTATGGCTATGGATATGGCTCAGCAGAGTACGAGGAGACGGCGAAGAAGAAGAAGAAGAAGATATTGCAGATGGGGGGTTAAAAATGATTATAGCTTTGGCTAAGGCTCAATGGGGAAAAAAGGAGAGGAGGAGGAGGAGGAAGAAAAAAAAGAAGAAGAAGAAGAAGAAGAAGAAGAAGAAGAAGAAGAAGAAGAAGAAAAATAACTTCTGAGGTTCGTGACTTAGGTGGGGTACAAAAAATATATATTGTTAGCTACGGTAGTCTGTGAGGTTGGACTGTGGGAGGAAGAGGGAGAGGTGGAAAAGGAGAAGAAGAAGAAGAAAAAGAAGAAGAAGAGCGATAAATTAAAGATGGAGAAAGCAAAACAGAAATTCGCTACGCTTATGCCTACGGCTTAGCAGAGGAGAAGGAGAGGGGGAGATAAAGAAGCTCTGACGTTCATGACCTTTGATGGCGGGGGGGGGGGTGGATTTGTTGGTTATGGTAGTCCGTAACTGGAGGACGTGGGAGGAAGAGGGAGAGGAGGAGGAGAAGGTCAAAAAAAGAAGAGGAGGAGGAGGAGGAAAAGAGGAAGAAGAGAAAGAAGAGGAAGAAGAGGAAGAAGGCGGCAAAGAAGAGGAAGAAGAGGAAGAAGAGGAAGGCGGCGGTGAAGAAGAGGAAGGAGGCGAAAAAGAAAAGGAGGAAGAGGAGGGAACGACGCTACAGAAGGGGTGAGTAGGAGGATGAGGTGGAGCTATCTGTCTCTCTCCCTCTCTCCCTCTCTCTCTCTCTCTCCAAGAACCCGACAAAAACGGAGGATGGGGAAAAGTAGTAGTAGAARAARAARAARAAAAAAAAAAAAAAAGAAAAAAAAAAAAAAGAAGAAAAAGAAGAAGAAGAAAAAGAAGAGGAGAAGGAGGAGCAGAAGGAGGAGGAGGAGGAGGAGAAAAGATGAAGAGGACGATGAGCAAGAGGATAAAAGATGAAGAATAAGATGAGGAGGAGGAGGAGAAAAAGGTGAAGAAAAAAAAGAAGAAAAAGAAGAAGAAAAATAAAAAGAAGAGGAGGAAGAAACGACGGTGTAAAAGGTTCGTGGTGGCGGTCTCTCTCTCTCTCTCTCTCTGAACGAAGATGGCGAAAGAAGAGGATAAGAACACGAAAAAGACGACGACGAAGAAGAAGAAGGTGGTAGAAGAAGAAGAAAGGTGGGGGATAAACATGAACAAAGTAAAAACCGTCCCACGGAGGGGCAGATATTCCAATAAGATTCCCACCAGACACTGTCAAATAACATACGCATTCCCTCGACGTGTTTGGGCTTGTGCGTGCCCAAAGCTCGTCAGGAGGACCTATCACCATCCATACTGCGTGAAGATGCTTGGCAACTCCACAATCTTTATAGCTCTAGAATGCTAAGTCATATCCATTTTCTTCCCTCTCTTGCCTTTCTTCTTCAATCTTCTGACCATGCCTCTACCCACTACCTCGTTCCCTCCCCATAACTTCGGATCAATCGTGCTACGTTCCGATGTCATGTCCCCACCTTGCATCACCATCGGGGAAAGAAAGTATTGAGTCGTCACACTTTTGGGGAGTAGCCATTGCGTCCGCTGATGCTCACAAAGACACGTACATTCTTCTTTTTTTTTTTTTTTTTTTTTTTTTTTTTTTCACCCAACGTTTCTCACTCCTGCCTCCGCCTTCGCTCCCCCTCCATGGCCGCAGCGCAGCTGCGGCAGGTCCACTTGTCGTTTATAAAGGTATTAGCCCCCTCACCATATCGTATCCATGATTCCGGCAGGATCCGAACTCTTCATCAGCAGTTCATCGACAGTAACGTGAGCGCTTCCTGAAATAGGCTTCTCTCAGTTTCAGGAAGAAGTGCTGCAATGAGCATCAAGATCCATCAACACTATTCATTCGGCATTCGAACACAGCTATAGGAATTCATGAGGCAGGGTTAAATCCTTCCTGAACAAGAGTCGGTCAAGTAATACCGTTGAGGAGCAGGGGTAAAGACTTCCTGAACAAGAGGCGGTCAATGTCACTGATTCCTGTGTCTCACTGATCCCTGTGGACCAGAGCAGGGGTCGATCCTTGCTGAACCTGAGGCAGAATGGAGGGAAGGGTAGAGCGAGTAAACTATGTGAAGGAGGCTGGACCTGGTTTTGCAACATAATAAGAACAAACGGTTGCCCGCGGCACACAGCTGCTTCTCCCTCCCCTCCTCGCCTGTCCCTCTGCAGCTTCCTCCTGCTTCCGGTTTTCTCCCACCTCATCTCCATGCAGATTCCCCATATCCCTCTTCGTAGGCCACTTTGTCATCCTCTGCTATAGTATCCTCCCACCCCTCCTCCCCTGTCATGCCCTTCTTCCCCCTCCCACAGGTGGTATACTGTGACGTGAGTGTAAGTGCGCCACAGCCTGGACTGATGGCCCCCAGAATAGATGGACCGTTGTTGTTTGAAAAAGAAAAAAAGAAAAAAGTTGAAGAAGAGAAGCACGAGTCTCTGTACCGGCAAAGTATGTGAAATTGTGAACCTGAGGCTTCTGTATGTTTTTATCTTCGCCACTGGAAATGCGTCCTTGTCACTGCAAAGCATCGCTACCGGCCAGACATTCGGATCGGGATCCAGACGGTCTGGGTCTGAATGTCTGGGTCCAGTGTCTGGCTCAGCAGGTCCGGCTTGCGCCCCTCCAGACCAGTTTTGAAAAAGAAAAAGATTTCTCCAAGGACGTTTTCCCAGTCCCAGGTGCCCCCAAACAAATACTACTGGGATTTCTCGGCCCTGTTTGGCCCCACTGGACAGGCCCAGACCCTGCCCACTGGAACCATCTATTTAGAAGTAAGAAAGTCGGAATCTCCGGAACCACCCAATTTAGAGTCATCAAGAGATTGATTCTTGAAGGCCCGGGCGTCGTATACGAATTTAACGCCCGGCAGGCGTTATATTCAATAAATCGGTAATCACGATCGCCCCCCAGTCGAAAAAAAAAAAAAAAAAAAAAAACACTGTTAACAAAATATGTTGCCTAGAATTGCAATGCAACTTTTGCTGAGGGTCAAAAGAAAACAGAAAATCAAACCATTACATACCCATTGGAAGTCAAAACCCCTTTCAACCCCCTTAAAACCCATGCATACCCCCCCTTCCTCCCCCTTTGAAACACATGTATACTCCCTCTACAACGCACTCTGCCTATACCACATTCAAATATAATGCCCGGGCATTCTATTCACATATAACGCCTGGGCGTTATATTCGAAGGGGCCTTATCTCTATACATATAAAGGAAAACGCGGGTCTATCGTGACGCGTCCCGTTGAGACGTTTTCCCGCATGGGCCCGATGCACCGTGTGCCCGGCGCGGTTTTTGTTAGGGGCCGTTTTTTTGGGGGGGTTGGTGTCGGCGCGACGTCGTGAGGCCGGCGCGGATTTCTGTTTACTGCCGAACGGCCTCTTTTTTCGCGATGGTTTTTTTTGGCACCGCGCCGTCAAAGGTGTCGGGCGGGTTTGTGTTTTTTTTCGCGATGGGTTTCTTTTGCGCTGCGCCGTATATTTCCATGTTCGCGGGGAACATTCATTCGATTTTGCTCATCCTGTCGCTCGACGTAGCATGACACGGTCGGCCATATTCAACCAGGTAATGTATATTTCCATGTTCTAGCCGAAGATTCATTGGATGTTGCTCACGCACACATACACACAAACACACACACAAGAAAGATTCATTCCGATTTTGCTATCCTATCGATGAAATATGTGTGTGTGTGTGTGTGTGA